AGCCTGGCCTGTTTCAAAATAGAAAAAAGGCTCAAGCCTTTTTGATGGCCTATTTAGCCTAATAAATCAGGCCCAAGCTTTTTAAAAGCCTATTAAAACCTGTCAGGCCTGACCTGTTTATTTATTTTAATTTTAATTTTAATTTTAATTTTATACTTATATATAGTCTTATTTCAAATTTTAATATATACTTAATTAGAACTTGTTTTAAATAATATTAACCGTAATTAAAATTTAAAATATTACTTATGACATTAAAATTTAAATAAAATATAATAATAAAAAATAATTATTATGTTGTATGTATATTTTACCTTTTTTATTAGCCTATGTATTTTTTGTTATGTATTTTTGAAAATTTTAAAATTACAGGCTTTTTTAATAGGTTGCCTTTATACATGCCAGACTCAGGCTAGGAAAAGAACCTATAATAGGTCACAGGCTAGGCTTAGGTCATTTTTTTACTAAATACTAAATAAGCCTAGCCTGTTAAAGACAAAGTCTGGCTTGTTTTCACCCTTAATCTACGCAGATGCTTGGAATTTGATTTTGTGCACAAGGCACTCGTACTACCAGCGTCCTTAATTTTAAATCCTTGACATTTTGAGGAGGATTGGTTCATCTTCTCTGGTCGGATAGGAGTCATAAACATTTAATATGTACTCTTTTCCAGACATTTCGACCCATTGTTCTTCATTGTTGATCGATATATGGTGATGATTTAGTTACTGTATTTATCTTGCTATCTGGTTAAAGTCCTTTAGATTACATCTGAATGTTCACATATTGTCGTAGAGCTTCCTCCGTGTTTCTGGCGGCAGAAAAGCACGACTATTGATTTTCTCGTGAGGTGCATTTTGGTTCATTGGAACAGAAATTGTCAAACAACGTCAATGATTACAAACTTAAATGGATCTATAAACTGTAATACCTTTTCGTTCAACCCTTCTGAAGTTCACCGATATGCAATGTGCCACATAAGACATTTTCTGGAAATACGTTTATAATCTTAGGTAATGTGCTATACTTTGAAGTTGGTATACTACGAGATACTCTTATAAAATAAAAGATAAGAAGGAAAAAAAATACGCGTATTGCCGATCAAACAAACAAACGCGAGGAGGATAACAAATATAATATCTCATTGATAGGTAGAGAAATGCGTCGTACAGATGAAAGGCAAAACAGCCAATATTCCCTTATTAGTGATATACTCCTCCGGTCCTTATTATAAGACCCAATTTGACTTTTTATTTGGTCCTAATTATAAGACCCAATCCATTTTGTCTCTTATATTTATGCATTTTTTCCCAAGATAATCCTTCTAATAATGATAGTTTTAGCCAATATACTTAATTAGCAAGGATATTTTAGGAATGACAACACTTATTTATTATAAATAACCAACTTAACTTACTTCCTTAATTTCCTCAAATAAGTCAATTGGGTCTTATAATTAGGACCGGAGGAGTATATGAAGAGGCATAGTCGCAAACTGGACTACCTTTATAGTTTATTCGGTGGGAACATGCTTATTGATATAACTATGAAGAAGAAGTGGTCAGCCGACTTGGGGAAGGGAGACAAACTTGTTGTTGGGACCAACGAAGAGGTGGAGACGGTTGCAGCAGAAGTCATGAGACACAGGTTGGCCTTGCTGAATCCTAACCACACTCACCAATGGGTTGGTTTTGTTGATTACGCTAATTGCCGCGTCAGCATCCTTCCCACCATTTCTGGCCGGCTTACTCTGTACCCTTTTTCACTCACCACAACCAAAAAATAATCAGATCTTGCTCATCCATTTTTTACCTCTAAAAAAATTCTGATATTTAAAGCTTCTGATATATTTATATTCAAGGAGGTATGACTATCATATATAATTTCCAAAACTTACTTTGATCGGACATAGCTTGATTGGCTATGATTTTTGTTAGAATTAAATTCTTTTTTTTTTTTGGACAAAACAAAAGTGGTTTTGATCGATGAAATTGATTATTGTATATTAATATTAACTAATGAAGTATATATATAGTTAGAGAGAAAAAGACACGATACCATGAGCACAGCATGTTGGATCAGTACAGCCACCAGTGACGCAAGGAGGATAGGCTCCAGACATGGCTCGTCCTTTTTCTCTCCCACTTCTTTCTGTGTCTGTGTTTTTGGATCACTTCTTTGAAACTTGCGAATTGTTGGTTCTTATACACACACTCTCACCCACGGCTCATAAATAATGTGAATCCATGTTTATTACGTACGGATGACCATACTCTGTTCCCCAGGAACCTCCTGTAATGATTATTCTATATATGATATGAACACAATGTATAATACTATCATTCATGAATATAGTAATAAAATTTATAACAAATTACCACACTATTTACGGATTATAAATTGTAAGGTTCATTTCTCATATCTCGATCTCTATAATTAGAATGATTTTATGAATCTCCTTTATACTCAAGAAAATATTACTACATGTTAAAATAATTTATCATTTTAAAATCAACTACTGTTGTTGTTTTTTTTTTTTTTTGCCAACAATCAACTACTATTGTTGGATCATCATCTAATAAAAGAGGTCACGTACATGCAGATAAAAGGTGAATACGTTTCCTTTGGTCCACTCCAGAGAATGGCTTAAATATTGATTCATGTATATCCATTGCTTGTCATTAAGTGAGATAGGTATGTATTATGAGTCCCACATTAGGGAATCTCACAAGTGTTGTGGGGTTTATAAGTTCAATGGGTTCTCCCCCCTAATAGGCTAGTCTTTTGGGATTGGGCTCTCCCCTTGGACTTATGCTCATCACATTGGTGCTTTTATTGAGAGTTGGCCAATCAGAAAGGGCTGCATGCAGAGGGTTCTGACAGGTAGGATGACCGAGTGAAGTGCCGTAGAGTGGAACCGCCGAGGACGTCGGCTCTCGAGAGGGGTACTCTGTTATGAGTCCCACAATGGGAAATCTCACAAGTGTTGTGGGGTTTATAAGTTCAATGGGTTCTCCCTCCTAATAGGCTAGTCTTTTGGGATTAGGCTCTCCCCTTGAGCTTATGCTCATCATAGTATGTTCAAAGTACAAATTGAGAAATGTGAATAACTTAAACATTGATTCTCACTTATATGACAGTACTACATTTGAAAGGAATTAATCTTTGGTTGTTTTTTGTCAGGCAAAAATGTGAGCACATCTCCCAATAGACTTCGAATCTTGGTTTACCACATTGTGAGACACTAATCCATTCTGCTAGACTTAGTCTTTGCTGGTGTTAATCCTTAGCTCTTGATTGGGGAATGTCTTGGTACACAAAAAAAAAACAGTATTCCAAAGTTGATAACGCTTTGACCCAAAAAAAACTTGATAGCATATATATATATATACTCCTTCAGTCCTAAATATAAGACCCTTTTTGTAGTGTAATTTACACTACAAAAGGGGTCTTATATTTATGATCAGAGGAGTATATACTATGAGTTATACTTGTTACTCCCTCCGGTTCAAAATATAAGCTAAACTTTCTTAAAAGGGTTGGCTTTTTTTATAAGATAATATTCACTTTGGTCTAAGCATTTAATGAGTTTTTTTCCAATTTTACCCCAATATATTCTCTTTCCTCTTTAATTCATTTATTACATCTTTTATTTATTCTCTTCATTAATAAAGGTATATTAGGAAAAACAAATATATGTCTTACACATTTATTGTTTTAAATTGATTTTAATTAGTTCCTTGAGAAACGTAATGGATAAAGTTTAGCTTATATTTTGAACCGGAGGGAGTATAACTTAACAAGCACTAATAAAATTAAAAAGTGGTGAAAGTTAATGCTTATTATTTAAGGGCTAACTTTTCTCTTTTTTCAGGAAAAAATCAGAATCTTACTAAACATAATATACGAAATCAAATAAAAAACCTGTAAACAAATTTCGAAGTATAAAATCAAATCAAATCTCATTTTCTACATACACCGTCATCAAAACTACTATATGAGCAGCCACACGCTCAAATTGAAAAATTTTTTAAGCAAATCTTGAGCTTATTGCTGCCTAAAATGTTCAAGCAAATCTTTTTTAATCATTACCATAAAATATATAAAAAGATTAATGAACTTTCCTTATTGTAACAAAAATAATCCCTATTGGGAGAGGTGCTGACATTGACGATGCTTCAAATAGAATTGCATCCAATAGAAAGATGCTTATGCGTAGCATAAAAAAAAAAAGAATGATGTCAATAGAAAAAAAATTAATGAATGTTAAATGTTTGAAGATATATATTTTTTAATTTTTTTAAATTTTTTGGTAATTTAGGTGGGCTACCTCATTCTGATCCTCTAAATTAAAGAGTCAAGTTTCAATTTTCAATTCGCCAAACTAATTGAGGTGAGTTAGATGGATACCCGTTTATATTTTGACATATCTAATTCTATTTAAGATGCAAATTCAAATAACTCCCCTTGTAAGTGAGAGATTGTAGGAGTAATCTCAGTTATAATCTCATGCAGTTAGTGCCAATCTTTAGCTTTTAAGTTTTAATTCAAAATAAAAATATGAAAATTTTACCTCCAGTCTTAAATGTAAGAGCTAGTTGATTAATTGAAATATATTAAGAAAATAAATTAAGTTAGTTATTTGTAATAAATAGGTGTTGTCTTCCTAAAATATCCTTACTAATCAAGTTTATTGGTTAGAAGTACTATTATTAGAAGGACTATATTGAGGAAAAATAGATAAACATGGGAGACAAATTGGATTGGAATTTTATATTTAGGACCAAAATAAAAATCAAATGAGGTTTTATATTAAAAACCGGAGGTAATATGTTACAAAGCTCTTATAAAGTTCAGCGTTTAGAAAGTTCAAATGAAAACATATTCAAGACGCATTTGTCTGTTTTCGCATCCATCCTTATTTTAGAATTGTAGCGGGGGAAAGATAACATACTAATATAGACATACAAGATAATATTAATTGAGGACAAAGGGATCGATCATGGGCAATTAGGGTTTCTTCCAGGTCCGCCATAAAAGAAGAAGTTGCCCCAATCATCATTATGATCAGTTCGGAGATCATAGCAATTGGGATGATCAACGTAAGGGACCAAGTTACCAGCAGGCACGAGTTGGTTTTGGCCATTAATATACTTAATGTTGATGAAGTAGCCAGCTTTCCCTTGACCTTCTGAAGGAAAATGGCCACTTCCCATTTGCGTTGTGCTGTGCTGGCCTTCTGATTCTTTTACTACTTCACCTCTCAACTGTATCGCTGTTGAACTATCAGATAAGTGTGAGAAAAAAGACGAAGGCCAATATCCCATGACTTTATCTTCACCATATTGCATCCACCAGTCTCCGTTGATCACATCCTGCTCATTAATAAAATCAAATATATATCTCAATTTTCAAACAAAACAAGACATCTTCACACATGCTGATTTGATGATCTACAAGTATAAATAGTGATTTAGCAACCGTTTACCAAGAATATTGAGTTATATTACTTTGAAAAATCATAGTGCTGTCCCAATTAAGTAATCTAATCACTAAAAAGTACCTTCCAGATCATGATGGTGACACCATATTGGGAATTACCGTCACCATAGACAGCTAATGGTGTGATGCGACTTCCCACAGCTATTCCAGCATCAAGTTGAACAAACCCAGAACAAAGAAGGTCATAACATCCGGTGCTTTTATATGAATCACTCTGTCAGTGTCATATATTAAAAAAAATTGAGAATCAAAATGACAAAAAAGAAAATGATTGCAAGAATGTGCGCGCGCGTTTGATTGCTAAGGAACTTGAGCTCACAGTCCAGTAGGTGAACAGTCTGGTCGCGTTATCCCCACATAGTTGTGGGTAAACCTAATTGGCCGATAGCGAAATAGAGAATGAGATCGATAGGAAGTAACATTAATAAATAGGAAGAATTATTCTTAAGGACCGAATTCACAAATCTTTTATTTCTAATGATCAGAACTCATTGTTCCACTTGTCAATTTTTATTAATTGTTTAAGTTGTAAATGGTATTAAGTATCTTTCTAGTTTTAAATCTAGGTTATATAAATGGTAAATACTCCTAATTTGACCTGTAAATTTGTGTAATGTGAATGATAAATTTGAGGGCTTTAAAGTAATTAACTTTTGAATTTGGTCGTGCTAATGCTGATACTTCGGAATATTTAAAATTTTTTTTAGATAAAATATAGAGATCAAGAATAAATGACAGAGTCAAATGAAAATTTTGAAAATGTTATTTGAAAATATTATTGCTAGATGCCGTGGTGTAATCTTGGGATTGTGATAATAAATAATCTAAATGAATCTTCATCACTCACACACACACACACAGATATATATATATATATATAAATGTACACGCACGCGCACTTAAATAAGCACGAGAAAGTCAAAAGCGAGTTTTATATGTATTTTTTTTCATTACGAATTATTTTACATTTTTGTTGTGCAAAAGAATTACAGAATATGTACCTGCCAGCCAGCTTCAATAGTGTTAAGATTTTTACTGTCAGCATCACTTATAACCCAAATTTGAGAGATACTATACTCATCCTTTTGAACAGCAGGCTGCCACACGCTCATAGTTGCTTTCCCTCCATAATATTTTTCTCCTTTCACAAAAACTGAAGCATACTTTATCCTCCAAAACCATCAAAGAGTGAAATTAGAGAAAGATAGAGGGAAAAAGTTTAGCGGTGGGTCCCACAATTCTACAGTGTGAGCTCAAAGAATCCTCGCACATACATGTTATATCCGTGTGATATAAGGCAAGTTCTTAATTACCAACTAAAGCAAATTTTGTTGGTCACTTACACCAAATTTCGTAGATATGTGGATTTGGGCTCTATATATATATATATATTGATAAGCTAAACAACCTAAAAAGCTTGTTTATATAGGTAGAGTGAGGGACAACATAAGTACCTCATGGCCACCTTGACCAGCAACATATGGACGAAGAGGGACAGTTTTGAGATTCTTCTTCCCAAATTGTTGGATAGAGCTTGCCCTCAGGATGTCCTCCTTTCTTGTTCTTCTTATAGGAATGGTTCTATTTGGGCAACTTCCAACTTGGTGCCATGGCTGAACAATTGGCTTTGACTTTGAAGACATTTTGCTTTCTATCTTTACTTCAGGTCGGAAAGTTCGCCTCATCTTCAATCAAATGAAAAATGATGAGTCGGCTTCAGAATATTCAGATTAATAAGAAGCGAAATTAAGGGTTGGAGGAATCTCAATAAAGTAATCTGGTTCACCTTAATTTTGTGATTTTTGAGTTTCGGGTGATCAAAAGCTGGTTGATTCTGTAACATCCAAATATATATATATAGATTTTAGTTTATTAAAATGAGATTAATTAATTATCATTGAAGCTAATCTTAATTACGAGTTAGACTACTAATTAATAAATAATAGTTAAATAATAATTAATATATATTTAAAATATATATAGATAAATATAATATATAAAAATATATATATATTGACAGTGGGTGGCACGCGGCCACCCACTGTTTGTTTTGGGGGAGGGGAATTAAATCCCCGGTGGGCAGTGACCCACCTGTTACAAAAAAAAAAAAAAAAAACTAACTAACTAAGTGTTTGACTAAGGGATCACGTGACCCCTTACTTTTGAATCATTTTTTCCCCTTCTTCCGCCTCCCCGTCCAGTAGCCTCCCCTTTCTCCTTCGTGTCACTCCTCTGGTCCGTGTCTTCGCCGCAACCGCGACAGTGAGTGGGCGTGAGAGGTAGTTTGAGTGTGTGAGAAAGGAAGAGCTCTACTTGGGTACATATAAGATAATTAGGTAAGCTATTTTTATCCTACTATTTTTATTTAGCTCATTCTTTTTATTTTCTAAGTTATGGCAGACTGAATATTTTTAGGGCTTGTTAGATTTTTAATTTTTAAGGCTTCTAATTTAGTATTAGGATATTAATAGAGCTTATGTGGTTAGAATAAGAGTTTTATGACTTAGATTTTAGTTGGATGGTTGATTTGAGGCAATGTAAATTAGGGATTGGTTGAGAAATGGTGATTTGTATTAATGATGATATTAATTTCAAAATTTATCTCTTAGTTGAGTTCATTTGAGGTTATATTGAGGATTCAATGCTTAAACTTTGAGGATTGTTGTTGAAATAGTAATGTTGATGATTCTTGGAGAGACTTTAAGTAGTGGAAGTTGGGTGTTTGGAGTAAATTGAAGAAAATATTGTAAGTTATTGATTCTAATGAATGGGAAATAATTAATGGAAGAAGGGAATAGGATTGTAATAATGATTGGAGACATAGATGGTACATGATTATTTTTCTAAGAGTTAAAGTAAACACTTTTTGGAGACTTTTGGAGGATTTAAAGGAAATATTCTTATTAATGATGTGAATGAGAGAAATAGAGTTGGGAAGTATTAGGAATTGTCACTTTGAAGAATAGATGAATTATTATTTTTCTAAGGATAAATTTTTTAGATAAGCCAATTATGAGGATTTAGTTAATAAACTATTTTAATGCTATATTAATTAGTCTTTTTATATTAATATATGTTTATAAACTTATTGTTGTAGAGTGAGCTTGGTTTGGGCTCTTGGGTCTTGAATCCTCCTACTCTTAGTTCTTGTGTCAAGAACTTGAAGTAACCACTTTCTAATTTACCTTGTATGCTTGTTGATGTGATTATAAGCATGTGTTGATATTATAAATGTTATCAATATGTGTTATGGTGATTTTTGTATGAAAAGTAATTTATATATATCTATATCAAGAGTTATGTTTTGTTAAATTTATTAGTTAAGTGGGCATGAATTATTTCATCTTATGAATATCTTATTGATGTTGAACAAATTTGATTATTGAATCTGAGAATACTTTATGGATATAAAATTGTGTGGAATTGGATGGTTGGATTGTGCTGTGTTGGTTGTGCTGAAATGTAGTTGTGGGAGGTTTGATTATTTATACCACGTGGTATAGCCGCCACTTGGCGCCCAGTGGTTGGCATTAACATTCTTAGGGCCCTCGGTATCACCATTCCTTTGGCCGGGTCAAGGGTCAGCCCAAGGGACTTGACACCTTTCCATATTCCAAGGAAAGGGAACCCATGGTCCGATATGAGCTCTGTAACTTTTGGCCGAGTTACACCTCATTATTGGAGAGCTTGGTGCAGTCTTGTAAAAGAGACGAATCCTATTATATGTGTATAGCCCATGGGTTCTGTCAGAGGTTACAAGGAGGTTATAAGGATGGTTGATGAAGTTCTGTGCATGCAAATTATTTTTGAATTATTATGTATTGTTTTCTGTAAAGATGTTTAACTTATATGTTATTTGAAATTGTACTTTGCCCGCTTAGCTATCTTGTAATCACTCCCTGGATACTTGTTGAATTGGAATTGTGGTTACTGGGTCAATTTGACTCACCCCGTGGTTATTTAACATTTTTCAGGCGAGGGTTCAGGTGTTGGTCCCAAGGAGAAGGTGTCCGAGGCTTGAGTTTTCCTTTCCACTCTGTATAGCCTCTATTTTGATATACATGATTTGACTGATGTATATTGCCAAACTTTAGGGCCTTTTTGTTATACTTAACATGCGTTTAATTTTCCGCTGCATTCTAGACTTGAGTTATCGGGCGGAGTCCTTTTTGGATATAGGTGACTGTTATTTTGATTACGATTGTTATGGGCAGTGGTAGCAGTTATTTTGATGGACCTAAAATGCTCTAGTCCATTCATGATTGGTCTTAGTTATTTTTTGGGGTTTTAGAGATTCATGATGGGATTTGTTATGCACATCAAAAATCAAATGTTGATCCTTTCTTATTTGACTAACTATCTTTACTATCCTAGAACAGTAGCTACTACTCTGTTAAAGATTTGGTTTGTTATTGACCATGGTAGATTTCTATTTGATTAGGTTTGTCCTTCCTACCATGGTTAGCCTTTTAAAGTAATTATCCTTTTGAAAATGTTTATTTACCATGAATTTCAGGGGGTTATTACAGATTCAGGATTGAGACGCAGTCGATTATGTCTCCATCAGGACTCTGGTTTTAGCAAATATTATAAATTATAAATTTTCAACACAAAGGATCATAGATTTTAAAATCCTCAAATAATTTTCAAATTTTCAGTAAAACAAGGAAAAATAACCTGTTACCTGCTGATAAAAAACGTGAAGATGAATATACTGTCTATACATACCTTTATAGACTTGACGGCTGGTTTATTCAATTTCCTCAAAAGCTTATCAACCTCAAGCTTCTGACTAGAAGTAGCTTCCTGGCCATTGTTGACTGTGTCTTGACCTTCGTTCAGGTGTACAGACAACAAGAAGAAGCACAACACCACATTGGCCGGCCAAGTCTTCCCATTTCCTAATGTTGCTGCCATTGAAGATGAGAGATATGAAACAATCGACTATATGAAAATGCTCAAGTGGATGTTCAAAACTTGATGTTACGGAAATTTATGGGATGATTTGTACTATAAGAATCTGATGTTATTTTGTTGTGCTTGATTTTGTGGCAAGATTATCCTGAGAAATTGAATCCGGATGTAACAATGGCAACAAGACAGACAAAGAAAAATATTAATGCTGTAATCTATAAGATTCATTTACCCTGCTTGGTATAATATGGGGCCATGTTTCTTATTTCCCGGAAAAAAAAAAATACATGTATAATTTTTATTATATTCCCTTTTTCACTCTTAATTATGTTTCTTAATATGTTAGCCTTTCAACTAGTGTGGATCAATATGATGCAGAAATTTAAAAGAGTCATACTATTTATGATTGAAGCTTTTAGAGATTTAAATTTTTATGTTACAGATGTTGGTTCTTGCATACCAAATAATGATGAGTGTATGGGGCTCTTAACGTGAGATCCAATGCCCAATAATTGACCGCCTTTTGAATTCTACGATTTCTTTCTCTTATTAGTATAACTTGAAAATGAAAAATTTAAACTTTTTTCTTACCTTTGCTAAAAGAAGAAAAAAATCCATTATAAGAGGGGGGGGGGATATCTATATTAATTGATTACTTATCCTATGTTGTTGTTGTTTTTTTTTTAACGTTTTAGACTAAAAAGACAGATTCAACAATTTGCATTTTTTAATACTAAAAAAATTGCACAAAATATATTTTATCCAAACGGACCCTAATTCTAACTTTTCCTAGCGTTCTAACCTTTTTTCGGAGATTAATATGGGGTGAAAATACTCTGTAACTGAGACAATGCATGAGTTCACAACGTTGCCATCACCATTCATCACCAACAATACATTCTAAAGTTATATTCAAACATAGTACTCCTCTGGTCCTTAATATAAGACCTAAGTGTTGAATTAATTTTGATCCTAAATATAAGACTTATTTCTCATATTTATTAATTTTTTCTACATTATCCCTATGAATACTCCCTCAACTATAATCAAGTAGAAAAGAGGGAAGGATATTAAGGAAGATAATTATGGTGTTTTAGAAAAAATATGTCATATTTCTTATAATTAACTAACTTACCTAATTTTTGTAATATAATCAAACTAGTTAAATAGGTCTTATATTAAAAATCAGAGGAGTTTAACAACATCTTGTTCGATCTATCAAAATATCTCAAAGATGATCCTGGGCAATTAGGGTTTCTCCCTGGACGACCATAATAGAAGTGGCTACCCCAAACATTATCAGAATAGCCAGGTTGGAGTACATTGTAGCAATTGGAATGGTCAGCGTAAGACAACGTTATTAGCAGTCACCATTTGGTTGTTACCATTAACAAATTTAATATCCTTGAAATAACTAGCTTTTCCCTGCAAAATGCCCACTTCCCATTTGTGTTGTTGTGTGTTGTCCATTAGTTCCTGAGTTTCCTACTTCACCTCCCCACTCTATCACTGTTGCACTGTCTGATAGACTTGGGAACAAAGAGGAAGGCCAATATCCCACAATTTGATCAGTGCCATATCGCATCCACCAGCCTCCATTGCCTTTATCCTGTTCATTAATTATCACAATTATTAATTACTCTCTCTGTTTCAAATACAAGGCACTTTCTGAAAAGTTCTACATTTCAATATGTGAGGCATTCTACAAAATTCTGAGGAAAAATAATATTCCATTTAGTCTTTGATATAAGAGTTATTTGACTGATTTGAGTATATTAAGAAAGTTGGATTAATTAATTAATTATAGCAAATATGACATGATCTCCATAAAATACCCTTGTGTAACACTATATCACTATATCAGTTTATAAGTAAATTAGCTTGTAGAAAAATAATAAATATGGGAAACAAAATAAATTGAGGTCTTGTATTTAGAATCAAATTCAATCTCCAACCAGCTCCTATATACATTAGGGAATGGATGGAGTATCTTTTTTATCTTGACTTTCAAGAGGAGTATATCAAAATTACTTGCTTCCTATTTAATACAAATAATTAATAATTGGCATTATGTAAAATGATATACCTTCCAGATGGTGATGGTGATTTGATACTGGGAATTAGTGTCATTGTATAGGGATAAGGGCATGATGCTGCTTCCCAAAGCTACTGCAGAGTAAACTTGAACAAAGCCAGAACAAAGAAGATCATAGCATCCCGTGTTCTTACTTGAATCACTCTGTCATATATACAGAGGTAAATGAGAGAAATTTCTAAGGACTAAGAAAGATATCTGAACTAACAAATCAAACATGTAGGGCTGTTATGAAAAGTTGAACTCACAGTTCAAAATGTAAAAAGCCTGGTGTGATTACCCCATATAGCTGTGGATTCACCTAAATATCCAAATCAAAAATCGACAATTAACTACATAGATAAGTGCGTAATAACTTCAAAAGATATTCAAGCATACAAAAGCATGAGAAGTCAAAAAAAAGTTTTATTTTATATGTCAGTATTTTCTTATTATTAATTTAATTATTTTCTTCAATCTTCAGTTTAAAAATATAAAGAATACCTGCCAACCAGCTTCAATAACTTCGATATTTTCACGATCAGCATCACTTCCAACCCATGTTGCAGAGAGACTATATTCTTGGGATTGTTCAACATTAGGATTCCAAACGTTCATGGCTCCCTTGCCTCCATAATATTTATTTCCTTTAATAAATACTGAGGCACACTGGAAACTCCAAAAGCATCAAAGAAACAAGAAAAATACATCAAACAAAGCAAAACGAAACACAAAATCTAAAGCCTCTCTCATTTTGGGGTGTGTGGGTGTGTCTATAGGGACAATACAAGTACGTACCCCGTATCCCCCTTGACCTCCACCATTTGGGGTTAAGGGTAGTACGACGTTCTTGAGATTCTTCTTCCCGAATTGTTGCATGGAGCTTGCTCTAAGTATGTCCTCTTCTCTTGTTCTTCTTATCGGAAGAGTACCCTCTGGACAACTTCCACTTTGGTGCCATAGCTGAACGATTGGCTTTGATTTTGAAGATATTTCATTACTCACTTCAAGTATATTATCTTGTGGTTGAAAATTTGGCCTCATCTTCATTCAAACATGAAATCATCAATCGGATTGAGTTTTCTTTATCAAGAGTTTAAAGTTATATATATCTATATGAAGCAATCAAGCAAAGTGTTCCACCTTAATCTTGTGATTTTTGAGTTTCGGATGATTAAAAGGTGGCTGATTTAGAATAGAGACACAATCGATAATATCTTCATCAGGACTCTGGATTAAGAAAAACAAATTGTTGACATAAACTACCATAAATACTAAAACTTACCAATAATTTTCTTCACTGTTTCAAACATAATGGGGATGAGAAACCAGGGATGAATTACATACCTTAATGGACTTAGCAGCTGGTTTATTCAACTTCTTCAAAAGTCTATCAACCTCAAGTTTATGACTATGACCGATAACTGTGTCTTGATCTGCTATTATCATCCGCACAGAAAACAAAAACAAGAAGAAGAAGAAGAACACCTTCTCTACCCAGCTGGTATTTTCGTTTCCTAATTTGTCTGCCATTGTTGGTGACAAATATCAAGCAAGAACCGTTTGTCAAATTTCTCAAGGGGATATACAAGACTTGATGACACTAATTTATAGGCTGATTTGTCCTGGTACATTGTGAAGTTATTTAATTTTATTGTCCTTTTATGACAAGATTTTCCCCGGGAAATGAACCTGGTGATTAACAACGATAACCAAAATAAAGACACTTTTTAATGTTTAAATCTGTGATATCCATGTACGCGGCAACCATACATAGTGTTGGCTTTCGTAAAAGAAAAGAATGAGATATATTACAATGTATGTAACAAATTGTCTTCCCCTTTGTGTAATCTTTCTTTCACTCTACGCATGTTTCTTCAATTGTATGTATTTTTCTTCCATGACCACTAAAGGAATCGTGTTTCCAACTTGTCTTTTATGTAAGTCTTCTTCAATAGTATGTATGCTTCTCCAGTGTTCTTAAAATTTTCTTCTATTAACATGTTTTCTGGAAACATTGTTTCACTATTTGGAAAAGTTCTATGTTTTCAGGAATCATATTCTGAAATTTTATATATACGTGTTTTCATTTAATGACAATTTCATCATTTCATCCTCATATCTATCTGCCCTAAAGGATATTATTGATCCTTAAAATGATTTTCAGGTCCTTTTATACAATAAATTTGCCGAGCAGATCCTTTTAAACAATTGTCTCAATTTTTTCAATGTTGAGTGGCGACAACTATTATATTTCAGAAATGTTTCAAAATTTAATAAAACATTTCTCACTCATTTAAAAAAAAGTGTTATTCTCTGATTCTCTCTCACTCTTAAATAATAACTTCAACTTGATCAAGGTAATTTTGAGAAGTTGTAAGAAAATTTTATATTTAACAAATTTTAACTAATTTCATTAATTTTAAGAAGTAGTCAACATGTCCTTTTATTTTTTTTAGCATAGGGAGTATCGTATTTATATAAAGAGTATGTACTGGTTAATATCATCTTTAGTATATAAAATTAGATCTTGTTTTGGTTTTAGTTCCCCTGAAATTCAACCTTGTTTTGATCCATCTAAAGATTTTTAGTTATGTTCCTAAAACATTGTTTTAAGTCCCTAAAACCTTAAAACCACTAGTTTCCCATTTCAAAGACCGTAACTAAAACAAAGTCAAATTTTATAGACTAAAGGTGATGTTATCTCCAAAAAAGAAATACATTTTGTCCCTTCCACGGCAAATTGAAGCACATGACATACATCGTCAAACACTAGATAACACTATATTGTACATGATTGATAACCTCTCGAAATTCCTACTAATTCGACTTGTTTTAGCACTCTTTAATGGATTTTGGAAGTTAATTGGGCAGGAGTTTCCTCTTAAAGTTAGAAAACATAATTTGTCAAAGTGAATTTTGATTTAGG